CATTTACTGTTTGCATACATGAATATTTTATGTACAGTCAGACACATTAACAATGCAATTAAAACAAGGCTATTATTATTCATCACCGGCCATACATCTGCTGCTGAATGTGGATATTTAGCCATTTAGCTTTTTATGCCTAGCAAGCAAAACCAAAGCAACCATCTCTAACTCTTGGCGTATTATTGATGAGGAGAGCTGAGGAGCTGCAGCCTGTTGAGATGTCTACCTGCTCCAGGGTCTCCAGGTGTTACTGCCTCTATGACCATCCCATCATGCACCTCTGCCAGGTTCTTTGCTATTTGACATATTCTCCATGGAAGTTATGTGGTTTAAAAGCATGGAATAAGCTAAGGTGCATGCACTGCCCTTCAAGTTACCGTTATATAAGTGCTTAGGGCTTTGTTTTGTTTCTGATGTCATTTTTAGGGTTTTTTTCTTTGAATGTATTGTGACAGAGATAGGTATAGTACTTGATTAATGACTCCAATTGATTTCATAAGAGTGTCTTTCTGTTAAATTATCAGTACCCAGGCTTATTGTTATGCTTATTGTGTGTAACCAGGTCAATTTGTAATGCTCTGTCCCCTGTCTACAAAAAGTACTTAGAAGATTGATGGACGGACTGTATGATGCTAGTGTGTATCACTGAGTCACCTCGGTTGGGGTTTTTGATAAGTGCCTGAAGCCATATCCACTTCTACACATCCATGTATCCAGTGTAGGTCTGCGGGGAACCTGGAGCCCATCTCAGGAGGCAGGGGCTGTGTCCTGGCTGGGGTGCCAGTCCATCACAGGGCAGGGGGACACCCTGCCTGGGGTGCCAGTCCATCACAGGGCAGGGGGACACCCTGCCTGGGGTGCCAGTCCATCACAGGGCACACGCACGCTCCCACAAGCGATTTAGGGACTTCAAACTGCATGTCTTTTTGAACTGTGGGTGGAAACCAGATTACCCAGAGGGACACTGTGTGAGCAGGCAAAGCAAACCTGCAGTACTGCCACATTGATGCTGGATGCTAAGAGCGGCTGCTCGCTTACAGTGTTCTCCTGCATGATGTCCTATAATTATTATGATTTCATATGATCCAGTCTCACTCTGACCCTCTCCCACTGGGGACAGGATCCAGTCTCACTCTGACCCTCTCCCACTGGGGACAGGATCCACGCTCTCTCTGACCCTGTGTCGCCTGGAACAGGATCCAGTCTCACTCTGACCCTCTCCCGCTGGGGACAGGATCCAGTCTCACTCTGACCCTCTCCCGCTGGGGACAGGATCCAGTCTCACTCNTCCAGTCTCACTCTGACCCTCTCCCGCTGGGGACAGGATCCAGTCTCACTCTGACCCTCTCCCACTGGGGACGGGCTCCAAGCTCATTCTGACCCTCTCCCACTGGGGACAGGATCCAGACTCACTCTGACCCTGTGCTGCTTATGACAGGATCCAGGCTAAATCTGACCCTCTCCCGCTGGGGACGGGATTGAAGCTCACTCTGACACTGTGCCGCCCGGGATGGGGTCCAGGCTCACTCTGACCCTGTGCTGCCTGAGACAGGATCCAGAGTCAGTCTGAGGATGTTGGGATGATGTTTGGCTGGTTTTATGAATATCACACTGGCAAAGGAAAGTCATGAGCTGCCATTGACGGGCTCCCCGCAGTGCGGCTGCATGTGCATATACGCACAAGGGAGATGCCGTTACTGTATCGATATTCCCCCAGATTAATGGTGCTGGGGGGGGGACGTGCAGAGATGGTGCGCGGCGATATGCAGTCACATGAAGGGGGGGGGGGCGACATGCCTCCTAGGACACACATTCATAACACCACTGTCCTCCCCCCATATCTCTCTCTCTCTCTCTCTCTCTCTCTCTTTCTCTGACACTTCCATTCACCCACATGTACAGGAACCGCAGATGGAATTTTAGGAGCTCTGAATCGTACGTTTTAATCGCTTTCGTGTTGCGCTGCGTACTCTGTAACTGAATTACACATTCTTTTTCTGTCAATTGCCTTTCAGCATCGAGACACCCCCGGGTTCGAACAGGCCACGGCCCGCCAGCCTGTGGGTGACCACGGAGCTTGGTTCTCTGTAGGCAGTTAGACAGTACAGGGCGTCCTTTAGAAGCAGAGTGGAGCAGAGCGTTCGCTGTCGATATTTTCAACATTTAAATGAGAGCAGGAGAGCGCTGGAGACCCAACGGGGGCCCGGCTCTGAACGAGCAGGATTTAGCTTTTCAGCTAGTGCCATTACTGAGAAATCAAGTTACGCCACAAAAGGCGCAGGAGGAAATCAGAAAATCGATATGAGGAAACCTGCAGTCGGGCCTACAGTATCTGTGGAATATCTGTGTTTATTGAGACCATCGTCTCTGAAATTCCGTCACACATCCCTGGACTCGGAGAGCAAAGTGGCATTTTCAGTCCGTCATCCATCATTGTCAGCAACTGTGGGGAATAAATAATTATCGTACTTCTCTTCATTTTATGCTATCATGAGTTGTCATGATAACAGCCTGTAGTAATAAAAATAGCCGTTTAATATATGTAGCGGGAAATAAGAAAAGATCACATGTATTTTTGAGTCTTTTTTTTTTAATAGCCAGATCTGTTCTTGGCTGTTCTGTTTTTTGTTTTTTGCTTTGTCACTTTGAAAAACTCTGCATGGAGACGAGGCCCAGAGTTGCTGCTCTGTAAAAATATGCTGATATTCTGTATTTAAATGGAGTTTTAGCATCATGGGGAAGCGGAGCACTCTGAAACCCTTAGCAGAACAGGCCCTGGCTCTCGTTGGGTTTCATAAATTAAACTGGAAGTGTTTATCATCTCCGGGATGGATGGATCGGGCTGAGAGGCGAGATGGACGCTGCTCGCACCAGGCTGTGTCCAACTGGGGGGGTCCTGTCTACAATTACAGCCTTCCGAGCATCTCCCGACTTTCCGAGGGGGGCCTGAGCTGCTGAGCGTGTCTGAATTTTGCTTAAGGAGGGGCTAGGCATTTGTGTCACTGCACTGGCGCGCAGATTATTGTGCCAACCCCCCCCCCCCCCCCCCCCCCCTTTTTTTTTCTTTCAAAAATAAACGAATGAAAGAAATATTTACAATAAGTGATTTGTGGGAATTAAGTGTGATTTGGGGATTTTGGAGGGGGGTCTTTTGAGGAGGTGATTCAGAGACAGAGCAGAGGCCCTGATAACGGCTCTGAATGAGAGACAAAGGAACAACAGGCAGTTCCAGGAAATGAACCCACATTTTATGATGGTTTACAGGGTCACTGGACCTGTGGAGACCTGTAGCACCTATGTTGGCTTTGGTACTGCTGGCTTATATGAGAGAGAGAGAGAAAGAGAGAGAGGGAAAATATTTTGAATCATTTTCAGTGTATGAAACAGAAGCAAGAAAACATCAAAACAAGAAAATAAAAGAAAACGTTTTCAAGCCCCTGCCATAGCAAACCTACAAAGGTGAACAGAGGCTGACAGCTGAAATCAGATCCTTCAGGCATCACCAGCGATTCACACAAATATAAACCCGAGAAAATGAATGTCAGGCAGCGTGAGGGAACCGTGAGGGAGCTGTGAGCCCCTTAACGCTGCCCCGACGCCTCCTCCAGCGGGTGCACGGGCTGCCATTGCATCAGATTCCAAGCAGTGCCAGCTGCCATCCGGATGCCCTCGCGCTGCCACCAGAAGCCAGATGCACTGCACTTATCCCAAAGGTTTTCTTCATGTTTGTGAGTTAGAGCAGAGCTGCCCTGTGCTGCCTGGGATGGTCCCCCATGATCCTGACCAGGCTACGCTTTCGGAAGATGGCTGGCTTGGGAGTAAGACTCATCAGATTGGTGCTTCTATCGGAGGGTTTTATTTGAAAGCCGAGCCCACGGTAGATTTTGCAACACAGGCCAGTCCTCCCGACAAAGTCATCTATGAAGAAAATGCTGTAAACTGAGTCAAAATGATGGAGTTATTTTGGACACGTATGTGATCCCATTAATCACGCTTGCCAGTGTCGCAGAAATGAAGAGCTGTATTGGATATATACAGTATGGCGCTGGATGAATTTGAACCCTTAATTTCTGAGTGGGACCATCCTGCTCATGCTTCTCAAATAACAATTTGACTGCAGTTCCAACAGACCGAGATAAATATGTATCTGCCAGCCAGTGGCTCCTGGAAATGTTTGCTGTAACCATATTTTCTCTGTCTTGCCGTTAAATAGATTTTTAAATTCCGCTATGTTTTATGAATGGTTTATTTTAACTGTCAGCATTCACAGAGCTGGGTGGCAGTGTTTTATTTAAAACGTTTTTCAGGTATGTGTTGAGCATGGCAGCCGTAAACCAGAAGCAAGATTTCCGTCTAATTATTAAAGCAATTGCCTGATGTTAGGAACACATTTAAGGAGACGTTTACCATTCTGCCCATTCCCGTTTTCTGTGCAAATAAGCAGGTAAATTATGTAAAGTGTTTTATATTTCCTTCATTAAGCACCTCGTTCGACGCCATTATGAAAATGCTTGTAAATGTGCCTTTAGGTTTAGCGACCCTATGAAGTGAAGACCAACCTGCACGCCAGAATTATGTATTGAAGATATATATCGCGATGCACTGAAATGTAGTGTAAACAATCCAAAGTAGGAAATGATGCGAAGTGGGACCTGAGAGGCCAGCTTTCGCGGCCCTCTGCTCGTCCCTGCAGCTGGTCGCTGCCATGCCTGCATACTGGAACAGCAGCGGGGACGGCATGCATTCAGGCAATTAGGCAGCTCTGTGCATTTTCTCCCACTTCACACAGCAAATCCAGCTGGATTCAATTAGTCAGCCTCTGTCTGTTTATTTGTGTGTGGATTTACGTGAGTCCTTGCTTACCACACTGTGTGTGGGGGGTGGGGGCGGGCAAGACCTCTAGCCATATGGTATCTCTTCTACATGCCTCTGAAGATGATGTGTCTGGGGTCTAACATTGCTTTCCAATTTCTTCTCCCTTTTCCACTCTATTTTAGATACCGTGGTGTCCTCAGGAAGTGGTGAGTACAGACACACAAACGCCTGGCATTTCGGATGACTGTTTTGGTGGATGTGTGAGTGTTGTGTGCTGCCCTTGGTGTCTGGAAGTCGGAGCTCACCGAAAGATTCTTCTAAGGCTCAATGGAGAGAATGAAGCATGGCTTCCTGCTCTTTAGAGTGTACAGGTGCAGCAGTATGCATTGTGGGTAGGGTATGGAGAAATGCACTGAGGGTAAAGAATACACAGAAGATAGGGCGTGTATATATATATATATATATATATATATATATATATATATATATATATATATATATAATGCAGGATAAATGTGTGCATAATAGGTAGAGTGGATAGGGTCTTCAGAGTGGATAGGGTATACCCATGTGGCAGAAATTCCAGAGTGGGTAAGGAATACCAATAAGGTAGGGTATACAGGGTGGGTGGGTAGAGTATACCTATAAGGTAGGGTAGACAGAGGGGGTGAGATATACCCATAAGGTAGGGTATATGGCATGTGGCAGGAATTCCAGAGTGGGTAAGGAATACCAATAAGGTAGGGTATACAGGGTGAATAGGATATACCCATAAGGTAAGGTATATTCATTACGAAGGTTATAAGCATAAGATAGGAGGTACGGAGTGGGTAGGGTAAATCTATTAGGTTGGGTATACAGGATAGGTAAGGAATACCCATAAGGTAGGGGATACAGAATGGGTAGGGTATACTTATGAGGGAGGGTATGCAGAGTGGGTACAGAGTGGGTAGGGTATACCATCAGGTAGGTGATACGGAGTGGGTAGGGTATACCTATAAGCTATGGCATACAGAATGGGTAGGGTATACCCATAAGGTAGGGTATACAGAGTAGATACAGAGTGGGTAGGGTATACCCATCAGGTAGGAGATACGGAGTGGGTAGGGTATTTGCATATAATATAGGGTTCATGTGCAGCCATAATCATTCATTCTATGTTGTGTGAGAATATGGTGCTCCTGGTACCCAGTGAATCCTCCAAATTGCCCTTTTTACTTTCACATTTACCTTTTACTCACTTAAGTGACGCTCTCATTCAGAGGAAGGTACATGGCCCGAGGAGCAGCAATGTAATGCACTCCACGTACCAGCAGGTGACAGGGGTGAAACCACCAGCGTTACGGCGCCTTGACATTAACAGGCTGCTGATTCTGCTGCTGGGGTGGTAAAACAGAGCGGGCGGGGGGGCGTTCAGGTAGGAATCCAGTCTATTAGAGTATAGAATATGAAAAGACAGTGAATATCTATGATAGAGGTGCAGGGTTTTTATAATGGATACGAACTGTATATAATGGTATATACCCCCAGGATGTCAGCTCTCGAGAAAATAGGCATTGTTCCTTTGCAGAGCACAAGGGAAAGGTGATTATGGGGAAACGGGCCCTTAGAGGAATCCTGTGGCTGATATGGAGGCTCTGTGGTGTGGAGATGGGAAGGGGGCTCCACTTTGTGGAGATGATGACACCTCTGAATAATTTTTAGGCTGAATTTACAGTTACTGTGAGGGCTCACTTTCCCAAAGCTTTAGTGCTTAGGGAGCTGGTCACAAGGCCACATATTTAGATGCATCCTATAACACACCAGCCCAGGCAAGTGGAGAGGATGAAGGGTCCAGCCCTTAAAGGGAAGTGATAGGGGTGACTTCCTGCAGCCTATCACGATGAAAGGCAGCTGGATCGAAGGCCAGAGAGAGCTTTCGGTCATCCTCTGCTGTTTTGTGCATGTGATATTTATGAACCTATTAATCCTAGGAGAAGATGGTATGAACAGGGCTCCAAAATCGTCCCTGTATGCAGCTCTCCTAAACCATCGACAATTGACCAGTTTCCGAATGCAGGGTGTCAGGGCTGTACAGCTAAATGCTGTTTCCTGGTGGCTCCCAGTACAGTGTAGAGGCGAAAGCTTGCAGACCATCACAGTTGTCACACAAAACATGGCAGCAAAAAAACGGCCCTTCACTGTATGTCCTGGTAGGGCATAAGAATGCAGAAATGCAGTGTCAAAATCACTGTCAAGGTGCCACTAGATATTACACTGGCCCTCACTCAGATTTCCTCTTCTGGAACTAACATACATTTTTACAGTATATACTGGGCATAGGCACATATAATTTGAAAAGTAATTGCTCAAAATTCCCCATTCTTCCTAAATATACAGAAATCTGGTGAATTTCTGATAAATAAATTAGCCTATTAGGGCTGTGAGCTACTGTACAGCGCAGTTACTTTGTCACTGTAAAGTAACAATCAACATCCAGTTTGCTCCATAAATGTGTGGGCAAACACACACACACACACACACACACACACACACACACATTCACGCACTCACAAACACACGTGCGTGCACAAACACACACACATGCACGCACTCACAAACACACGCATGCGCACACACACACAGACATGCACGCAATAACACGCACAGGTTTGTAATTATATCTTTGTGGGGAAAACTCTAATCCCAACATGACTACCTTAACCCCTAACCCCAGCCCTAACCATAAGCATAAATATCCAAACAAAATACGAGACTTTTGGTATTTTTAGTTTTTTGATTGCATTCACAGATCATTGTGGGGGACATTTGGTCCCCACAATGTAATATAAACATAATACACACACACACATACACACACACACGGTAAGAGTGTTACACTCAATATTCCTCCTATTTTCTTAGTCACTCTCTTTCCCTCTCACTCACGGAGGCAAATCAAATGTATTTATGGCACCTACGCTGGGAAGCAGCCTCCGCAAGACGTCCTTTAATTTCATTTCCTAAATGCCAGCGACAAATTTATCAAATGAGCTGAATCGAATCAGAATTTTCCAGCGCTCCATCCGTCACGCGGCTTGCTTTGGGAGGCGTGGGCGTTGTTGACCCCACTCGCAGGCGCCGCTGGCGGGAGGGGCAGGAGAGGGGGGTGGCAGAAGGGAGGGGGGCTCTATTAACGTTATTCTGTTTTTCAATAACAGTGCATTGTTTGTACATAATTTGAAACATGTTTGGAGAATGGAATGTTTATTTCCCCCCCTTAATCCACACTGGCCCTCGTTCCTCACTCTGATCTCCAGTTTTTGGTGCTAGATAACATCCAGGTTGTCAAGTGGCTTGGAGCATTCGCTGTCACCCTAATTGCCTGCTCCTGAGGCCAGAGATGTAGGTGTAATTGCAGTACTAGAGAACTCTGAGGCACTGTGCTTTTAGTCCACTTATCTGTTCCTCTGGAGTGATTATAGTCTGTTTCCACCCAAGCAACCTCATCAACATTTCACTGGCGTGCCACTCTCTGCAAAAAAAGTTTGCTTTAACTGTATGAAAACCGGGCGTCACTTAATGCTGAGCCGAGTGAGATACAGAGCTCAAGCCGCATGTATCCCTGCAAATTAGATCAAGATAATGGATAATGGGGAAATTTTTATATATTAACTAGTTGTAACTCAATACTGTTAAATATTAAATAAATGTTAAATATCAGGTAAATATTATTTTTATATTTAAAGGTAGATGTGTATGTTTATAACAGAGCTTTTGTGCGGTTCATTGTGAAATCCTGAGAATTGGCATAAGATATTAATGACATGTGGCAGTTTTGGCCCTGGGCAGCATTAACCTCCAGGGGTCCCTGTCTGTACGGAGCAGATTGTTATGCTGTCGACCTCAGCGGTCAGCGCAGAATGAAATCTATCGAATGAAAAAGTGCGGGTTTGGACCACGAGGAGCTGGTGAGATTGCTGCACTCTTTCCTTCCTTATAAAATCACCTCCCTCATGGGGTGAGAGCCACGGCTAAGGTGTCATCTGGGCTAATGAAGGCTACCCTCCCAATGTCTGCAATAAGATCAGGGCTTTGCATGCACTTAAAGGAGCAGAGGATGGGCTGTTAGGAAAGAGAGTTTTTTCAAATTTCTATTGACAGTCAGCTGGGTTATTCATTGCAGTTTAGAGTCTCTATCATGACAAAGCACTACCAGTCCTTCAAGAAAGACAATATTAAGACTAAATAGGTGGACTTACAAATATAGGAGATAAAAAGTATAGCCATTGTGTGAGTATATGGTGCTCTTGGTAAGTAACTGTCCAGCAAATCGCAGTGCCCTTAACTGGAGGCGTGGGCTGGAATGGTGCAAGCTCTAGGACCCAGCAGTGTCAGTCTCTGCTGCCCAACGTCACAGATAGTGTTCTGTGGGCCCTTTGAATAATAATCTTCAGGGAGGTGGTGCCTGTTTTATTCCCCCCCAGCTGTGGGTGTCCTGTCACGGCCCGTGAAGAAGGATGGGGCTGGAGTGAATGCTAATGGGGGGGGG